TGTTAATCTAGGTTTTCAGTTACAAAGATACCAAAAAACTGATGTTACTTAAAAATAAAATTGTTTATTGACATTGGTTAGCTTGCAGAATTATCCAATAGTCTGGGGAAATAGGTTTGAGCTTAAGCTTCCTGTTAGAAATTCAAAATCCACTTAAAATAGACCTCAGGAGGACAATACTGCCAACCACCATATAGCAATAGGTACTATTATCTGGGAAGCTCTTGGGAACTCAAATTAAGTGCAACTGTTACTTGGGACAGCAGTGATTCTATTTCTGTCAAGCACAAGACCTGCAAACTCTGCTATCTCCCAAGGATGAAGATCTGTTCCGTAACTACCCTCCCCAGAAGAAAATGGATTCATCATTACACTTTTCCCTCGTAGTTAGTTGTCCCATCTGCTGAATCAGTTGCCCCATCTGCAAAGAAAGTAAAAAAGAAAGTTTCATGGGTTCCTCCTGGGGAGATGATCCTTCCATAGTCAGAAATTACACCAAAGATGACGAATGTGGTTAATGTTTGCTAGAAAGCCTATGTACATGAAAAGTATTCACTCATTGTGAAACACCCACACCTTCCCATAAAAACCAAATAACTTCTGATAGAGAACACTACTGGCATATTCTTTCTCTCAGCAGGATACACATCAACATGTTTCTCTTTAGCTTCAGAGAAAAGACTAAAATTGTGTAGTTTCCTGTAAGAAAGATTTTTCCTAGGGAACCCATTAATCTTGTAAGATTCTTAAAAGTCACTATAATTAAGCAAGAAATATCCAAGAAAATATGCCAGGAATAGGGTAGCATGCACAAGAGGACTCAGATTTCCTTCTGTAACTTTGGTTCCTGTCACCATTGGATGGATACTCATCGCTCCATTATTTCCCATCTACACTGGCATTTCACTAGTACCCATTCCCATAGTCACAAAAGAGCAACTGCATATAAGAGTTGGCATAGAAACCTGGAAAGGATTGAAATATAGAAATAGACTCTTCCACCAAGTGTGACTATTGTGTGCATCAGAGCCCAGGCATACTGGGTGACACCCAGATCAGCAGACTGACCAGGGCCCAGTCAACCACTGGGATGGATCCAGAAAGCACAACCTCCAACTTTGTGTTTGCATTAAAAATAAAAGATTATGACCCTGGTATAGCCAGAAAATGTTCCTGGGGTCAGGAACAGGGATGCAAATAACAGCAATTATTAGAGCTAAAGTATGATGTGGACTGTGAGATATTTTTGAACCCCTGATTTATAGGGTGACCATATAAATGTTAAATAACAACACAGGAATGAGGATGTTAGTAATATTTTAGGTTAGGACAACAGACACAAATTAGAAATGTGCCAGGAAATTGAGATATATGATCACTCCAATTATTCATAATTTGTTCCTCAGTAAATCCACAGACAACGTCAAGTAAACATGACTAAGAATGGGAAGGGATGCATGGTTTGAAAAGCAAAGAAGACCCAACATAGGAGACTTTTTCATTTGTTTGGTTTTAATACTCAAGGAGATGATGTGAAAAACCAGAGATGTTAGCATTTATTTATTTATTTATTTATTTATTTATTTATTTATTTATTTAATTTCAGTTTGTGGTCAGTGGATATTATGACTTCCATCACAAGGTATGCAACCTGTCATAGGAGTTACTCCAGAAAATTGACCAAAAAGAGGGGACATATACTTAGTGTATGTTAGTAAGGTTAGTAAGGTAAGCAGCAAGAGGTTCCTGGGAGACTAATCTTAGTGACATCTTGCTAGTTTCATCCAGAGGTGGCCAAACTGTTGGTGATATCCACTGAATTTCTACAGGATGTGGCCATGGGAACAAAGATAGAGATAGTGACCTTTGGCTCATTAGAAATTTCAGAGATGTAAAAAAAAAAAAGAAATCTGATGTTTATCACCAGACTTATCATGATGTCACTCAAGAGGACTCTAATTTGTTAATAGATTTACTTTCTCAGAGAAACATCTCTTTGTAATATTGCCAACCCCAAATGCTATCAAAGAATGGATCAGTATCTGTCTCCAAATGCTGCCATCTTAGCTTCAAGCAGAGAGTTTGGTCTAGGCCTCCATTTTGTTAATGTTGTAATAGCATCCTCAGAATTTAAGCAGAGCTTTATTGGAGATCTTAAAGAAGACTTTTGAATAGTCTGACATACCAGCTTATCAAAGCTGCAGTATTGTTCCTGGGCTTCTAAGTATCAACTTTGAATCCTGACCTGGCACTAAGAAGCCGTTTTCATTAAGAGATTCTGAAGGTTGATTTCAATAGCAGCATGTTTGGAGACAAGAGAGACATGTGAGGGTTCTAACTTCCACAATGCAGTTTTGTACCCGCTTGGTTCTATGACCAGTTCAGTGCACTTCAATCTTGTGAAATACCCTGCCCCCACCTTCTTTGTACAAAGATTTTCTTCAAAGTTTACACTTGCAGGAATTTGGAAGATTAAAAATCCAGTATCTAAGTACAGTAGGTTAGCCAAGCCTGATGTTAATGAACTCATATTTTTAAACAGAATTTGACTATTAATCAATAGATGAATAAAGAAGTCAGAAAAAAATGAAAGAAAATAGCCAGACTTTAGTACCAGAAGCAATATCAACCCTCCCACAAATTTTCAAGACTCATCTCTTTTCTTTTTTTTTTTCTTGATAGTACATTTTCACTCACCAACAACTTTTATATTTGACCCATATTTTTCTGTTATTATTGTTAACCACAAAATCAAAATTTGATCTGTTTTGTAGAGTTCTACATTCTCACAGCCTGGCTCCTAAAAGGTGTGGAATATTTGTTGAGTGAGTGAATGGATGATGGAAGACTCCCCTAGCCAGGTAAATATGAGTCAATCAATTTAGTTTGCCTTTCAAATGTAAATGATCCAATTGAGAAAAGGTGTTCTAAAAATACCCACTCTGCCCTTGTGCCTAAAGGCTTCTGAGCTGGAGCGTGACTCCTTTGAGAGAAAGAAATTTGAAGGTATGCAAGAGCATGTTGAATTTCAGCATATTGAATTGAAATTGATTATGGAGTAAGGAATGTGGTGAACAAGTGGATTGATACATATCTTGGATTTTTTAAAAACCAGATTAATGTAAAAAAAGCAGACTATATAGTAAGTGTCATATTTTTTATATGTTGGTAACTTAGTCATACGTGTGAATTGTACTCGTCTCTCTTTACAACCACAAATTCTTCAAACAAACCAACCAAAAATTTCCAATGGCATCCAAGAAATAGAAAGTGATGGACAACTCATCCAGAATAAAGGGGAAAATCTTAAGAAAAAGAAGACATAAAGGATTTAAAAAATAAAAAAAGAATACTATTACCCTGGACTCCAAAGAAGGAAATAAGACAAGAACTGAGAAGTAGCGATCTCTGAACACAAGGCCAGCGTAGAGACAACACAGACAGAAGGCAGGCATCAGGACTCTTTGTGAAGTGGCTGAAATAACAGAAAATCCCAACTATGACAGAAAAAGTGGCACCTCCCAATCCAAGTCGATACTTCATCCTGCTGATTTTTACAAGTTAGTGATTTTCTTAAATCAATCTTGTCTTTCCAATCCCTGTGGTCATTATATTTGTTCAAGGCCCTTCCCCAAGAATACAATAACCACCATGTCAATCTGTGCCCAGGTTTACCTCCATTCAATCTTTCTTTGCCTAGTCCCCAGGCCAAATCTGACCATTTTATGCTCTAACATAAAATTGCCCAGAAGCTCCTCCCCAGTAATTGAATGATGTTTACTCTAACTACATTTTCAAACTACTCAACTATCCTCTAATGATGTGCTCAAATGTCCAAGTTCTGCCAAAATATGAATTCTGTAGGTACAGGGACAATGACTACCTTACTAATGGCTGAATTTCAAGTAACTAGCACAGAGACTGTGCTCCATGAGTATTTTTTTTTAATATTTGTGTTCCACAAATAAATAAAAGTGGAAGAGTCATAATATAAAACTACTCAGAATACAAACCTAGTAATGTAAAACATATACACATATATGTACATAAAAATAGAACAAAAATGTGTTTTTATTTACCATGAAAGTGTTTTCTTCCCTCAGATATCAACATATAAAAATATAAACAAACAAAAATGAGTAGAGCAAAAACCTCTGCACCTGACGAATGAGAGAGTGGTATATTACAGGCCCTCCAATAATGCCATTCCTTTCAATGTCCTTTGGTTACAATGTTGATGAGAAAAAAAAAAAATCAGACATCAAAATAAAACATTGCCAAGACTAGAACTTATTTCCTTATACTTTTTTTTTCGCTTAAAGTATTAATTTTCAAGGAACTGTGTCTTTCATTTTGTCAAACTGCATTCCTCATCTTCCAGTCCTGACTCTCTCCCCACTTTCTCCTCCTCTGACATCTGGAAGAGTCAGCAATGGCAGTCACACCATGTTCTGCACGTTTGTACATTCTGTCTACTCTCACCACACTGTTTCAATATTCCCAACATGGTAGTTCTATGCTCTTGCAGTCTTTTCACCGTGAAGGCAAAGCACAAATCCTGGCATATAGAAAATAATACTGATTAGTATATTAATAACACATGGATATGTAAGTTGCAATGAATATGAAGCCCATTTCTTTCATTAAATTCAAAACCTTACTTATCTAAAGGAGTTGCTGCAAGGGTAAAATAAGGAAATGTAAAAAAAAATGACTGACACACACTAAGCTCTCAATAAATGAACAGTTATTAACTATTATAAACATGATCAAGTACAAGTTCCTTTGCTCCCTTGGCCAAAATCACTTCAAGTTGTGGATAATAATGCTGCCTGCCCACTCATCACCCTGACATGAGAGCAATTTGGGAATTATCAGACAGACACATTATTACAAATACAAAGAAGAAGAAGATGATGGTGGTGGTGATGATGATGATGATATGCCATTTGTTTTGAGTTTATTGCCTACAATAAGGTTATCACTTAAAGTCTCATTACCTTTGCTGATGTTTCAAACCATCCTACGAAACCATGCTCCCTGCAGAACTGGTCCATCTTCAGGCCATTGTTCATGAGCACATCCTTCCCCTGGTCACATTTGTTGGCCAACAATACCACTGAAACTGGTTTGCCATTAGGGAGACTTAATTTTGAGTCCAAATCATTTTTCCATTTTGTAACTGCTTCAAATGTAGCTGGCCTGGTGACATCGAAGACAATAAATGCACCCATAGCTTCTCGATAATAGACCCTAGTCATGTTTCCAAATCTTTCTTGACCTGTCACCAAAAGGAAATAGAAATAAAAAAAAATATTAAAATTGTAAACTTAATCACTAGTAGAGCCTCATGTAGCTTCTAGTATGAGCAAATCACTCAGTAAAGTATTTTGTTGTCAATCTTTAAAAAGTGAGTTAAATACACAATTATGTAGCATTGTTCTTGATCTCTGAATACAGAGGGAATTCATTCATTTTGTAACTATTTATTGAAGCTTCTTACCAAATAACATCCCAGAACTACGTTAATACATTATCCCACTAGCTGCCTATGGCTACTTAAGTTTGAAATAACTAAAACTACATAAAATTTAAATTAACCTAACTGTATTACAACTGTTCAATATATGGTTAGTAGGCACCACATTTGACAACTCCAATATAGAACATGTCTATTGTTCTAAACACTTGGGACACAATGACTGAAAAGTGAAGATCCCTACTGTCATAAAACTCACACTTTAGCGGAAAAATAGGTTATAATTAATAAATAATAAATATAATAAATAACTTAATGGTGTACTAATGTTAAAAGGCATCCGCAGTGAAATTTAATTAATTATAATAATAATAACTACTAGCTTTATTGTATGTCCCGTCTCACCTGCAAAATGTCAGTAAGTAATATGTACCTCACAGGGAGTTCATGTGAATAAATGAATTAATATATGTAAAATGCCCAGCAAAGTATCCACTAGTTGGCACTTGAATTGTCCCTCCTTTTCTCCAGCATGTTAAAAATTATAAATGACAATATGATGTAGGCTGTGAAATCATAGTTCCAGATTGAGGTTTATGACAAAAAGTATAAGTATTTATCCAATTAACAAAAATGAACAAAATCAAAATTTTTTAAAGATTTATTTATTTATTTATCATACAAGATCTGGGGTACAGGCCAGACATGGGAGGGTGAGAGAATTCACCAGAGACAGAGTGGGGAGCAGAACAGGCAAAGTGACTGAAGTACACTGCAGAGGAGTGTAGCGGGCAAGTCAGGAAAGGTCTGCTGTGCCATGTGGGTAGCTCCCTGGCTGGCTGGGGGATTGAACTTGTGCTGCAGAGGCTGCGGACAGCTTCATAGTTTGTGTCTTCACCCCTTGCGCCCCAGGAAGGCCCAAAATCAAGTTGTTTTTAATTTGTCCACAAGTAGTTGCTGAAGTTGCTTTAACTGAACAAAACCCCCATATATATGATAAGATAAAGGCATTGTATTCTTATATGGAAACATTTATGTGAAGAGTCATATTATTAATTAAGGTATATTAATTGAAATAAAGTTAAGTGTATATTTAATAAACCAACTTATCTTAAAAAGAACAAAATGCTAAAACTGGAATATACATAAGAACATACAGACAAATATACCTCAAAGAACACCTTACACTTAACTTGACACTCAAGATTTTCTGATGGTGAATCTTAATTCTAGTTGATAAAGTACTTGCAGGGTGTCATATTCACATTGGCATTTGAATTGCAAATTGTAAAAGAAAATGATCCATGAGCACTTACAAAAAATGAATTCAGGTCAAGGTTCCCATAGGGTATGTAAGTCTGTGTGTTCAAGAAGGCAACACTGGAAAGAACCAGTCTTAAATGGTTTACACCACAAAGTAATTTTTAAATTTCCCATTGTCGTCCAGTAAATGAAAGAAAGCATAATACTCTTTATATGACAAACAACCTACAGATGAACTTTCATTTTTCCCAAATGTGCCTTGTCCTTTTGTTTTTTTAAGTTACTGATGCAAGTAGTGACCTCCTTTGATATTGCTCAGAGCAGGCATGACATTTCAGGAAGTTAAGGGAAAAAAGCCCTCTGTGATTATTCTGGATCAGAAGGCCTGCAGGCTTTTTACGGATATCTTATGATTCCTTTCAGGGAACTAATCAGATGAAAGGCAAAGTCATGAGTTACTCAATAATCTGTTTGTGTAGGTTTTTGTAATAGCATAAGGCAATCTTAACAAAAGATCATTTTACATTTCAAATAGATGACAATGGGTCATTTTTAAGACTGCTTACACCTGCAAATTGATTCAGAAAGGGAGCGTGAAGTGTGAGTGTGTGTGTGTGTGTGTGTGTGTGCGCGCGCATCTATGTGTGTGTCCACACACATGTGAAATCAGAAACAAGGAGAAAATTATGAAAAACAGTATGGAGGTTTCTCAAAACACTAAATTTAGCCCCAGAAATCCCTCACTTAGATATTTACCCAAAGAACACAAAACACTAATCCTAAGGAATATATGCAGTCCTATGTTCACTACAGCACTGTTTACATTAACCAAGTTATGGAAATAATCAAAATGCCTAAGGACATATGATTGAATAAAGAATATTAGTTATATATACACAATGTAATATCACTCAGCTATTTAAAAAAGATGAAATCTTGCCAATTTGCAACGACATGGATGGAAATGGAGAGAATTATGCTAAACAAAATAAGTCAGGAGAAAGATAAATATCAGGTGATTTCTTTCAGATTGGAATTTAAAAACGAAAGCAAAAAAACAAACAAAAACAAACCCTTGAAATCTGACTACAGAACTGAGGCTACCTAATGGGAAGAATTGGGGGCTGAGGCAAAGGGGGAAGAGAGGGCCCTATGCTGTTGACTGCGGTGGATTATTGGTGCTTGGCGGGGGGTGCCTTGTGGTTACATTAGAGGAAATGTTGCCCTATATCTCTAAAACATACATAAAATTGTCAAACAAAATTATCTCATAAACATAATTTTGAGAAAGGAAACAAGAAGAAATGTGTCTCTTTCTAGAAAGAAAAAAAAGCTATGTATGAGATTAATGAGCCAATAGACTTGAAGTTTGTATTTTTAGTGTTCTACTATGAGGTCACATTCCCACCAGGGTATTGCTAGCATGCACATTTCTCCTTCTTTTGTCAGCTTACAGTCCTCTCCACAGATTTTTATTAAAATAATGAGAACCATGTGACTCTTAGTGCTTATACGTGGACAAAATGGAGATCTAGTACAATTATCACACTTTTCTTTTTACTTTATTTCTTTTTAAAAATGCAGTTCAGAAATCACTGTTAGGTGGGCTGTCTCATTCAATATATGTTTACTGAATAACTATTATGGCCCAGGTTCCTTTTCTCAAGTTCATAATTTTATCGTTGAGCAACTTTTTAACTAAGTGGATGAGGACACTGAAAAAAACCTGATTCACCATTTCCACTTCTCTTAGTTCTCAAACACACACTGAATAGCCTTATAGAGGTGGCTTGTGACTCAACTTCCTGCTTGAGGGCTATTAAATGACAAAGCGATCAACTGAATTACAACAGTTAATACAGTTTTTTTTTTTTTTAAGATTTATCTTATTTATTTTTGCATACAAGAACTGGGATGTAGGCCAGAGGTATGGGGCGGGGGTTAGGGGGTGAGAGGATTCACCAGAGACAGAATGGGGAGTAAAACGGGAGAATTGACTGAAATAAACTGCTGAGAGGAGCAGCGGGCAAGACAAGAGAGGTCATGTGGTCCAGCTCCCTGGCTGGGGATCGGAATTAATGCCTCAGTGACTGGCATTAGCTTGACAGCGCTGAGACTTTAAGCCCTGTCCCACCAGGGAGACCTAAGTACAATAAAAATTTGGATAATCTCCCTGTAGAAGACACTAAATTGAAGGGTCAGAATATATGAAATAATTTTAATTCCTGGCTTGACCAGTGCAGCCCTAGATAACGTTACTTCTCCTTTGGGATTTGGGAAGTCCTTAAAATGCAGTTTTCTCAATTGTGAGATGAAGTTTTTCTGGCTGATCTCCAAGGTCCCTTTCTTCTCCCAGCTTTCTAACTCTATGCTATCACCTTTCAATCAACTCTTGGCTTCTGTCCCAACTACCAGGAATGGTCTACGGATGTCTTGGACTCAGCTAAAAATGAACACAAAAAACACAGCCATAATCTGTATTTAATGATACTCTCACTTGGTGCTTAGCCCTCAGTAGATGCTCTCTGTGGACATTCCCAATCAGTGAATCTTGGAGACAAGTGTGAAAACAACAAAAGGAAGTATGTCATGTTGTTACGGACCAGTAATGGAAAACTGTCATACTGGAAATTCATGGACAATGCTGCTTACTAATTGTTGCTTCTCTTACACACATTGTAACCCTGAAGAAAGACTGTCTCCTAAGACTACACCCTGAGATCTGTGCCACCATAGATATGGTGGAATAAAAATTAAAAGGGGGGATTGTAACAGGGTGGTCCCCAGGAAATGGGGAGGTTCCAGGTTCCCTGTCCCACCCAAATGGGGGGTGGAGCTGAGCAGGGAGAGAAGAAACTGCAGAGGAGACTGAGAAGGAAGAAGCAGGATGGAACCAGAAGGAGACCTAGAGGAGGCGCATGGAGCCTAGAGACACGTGAAGAAACTGCGCTTGTCTTTTGGTAGCTGATGGGGTGACGCAGATGTGGGTGAGACCAGTGGGGAGGTGACAATTGCAGCTTTTATCTTGATTTTGATTTTGCTCTTTTCCTTCCAGACTTGTCTGGTTGTTTCTGACCCTTTTCTGTGGGTCCCCACTGGAAGGTGCTTTAGGCTGGTGGCAGGCTTTGGGGTCTTGCTCTGGGCCAATCCCATTTGGATGGAGTTTTACCCACGAGGGGACGGGTAACTGTGGGTGTTTGATTTAAAAACTAGATTCTTTGCCTTTCCTGTATTGTTTCCTAATTGTATTAAAGTTTCTTCCCATTTGTGTTGATGCGGCGGATGGCAGAACCCATTTAGAATAGGCAGTTTTGCAGGGTTTGGACTGCCCTGCAACAATGTCTTCTATTAAGCAACTGTGTTCTGAGACCTCAGAATGGTCACTTTATTATTCCAATCCTCAGTTCCCTCATTAGTAAAATAAGGAAACTTGATTGGACACCCTAAATTCATTATTGTATCTAAAATGACTCTCTCCAGTCAACCTCCTAATAGTCAGGAATCCAATTCTCCACCTCCTTCTCCTTGTGTTGCCCACT